TACTTAGATTTGTCTGGCTTGGTCCCGAGTGGGTTGTTTGGACTTTCTGATACGAAGATCACATCTACATGAAGTACTCAGGGAGTGAGGATACATTGAAATGGTATCCCTCCTCCCTGCTGTGGGCACGGAACCGCCTGGAGTCCGCGTTACATGCTCCATGGTGCCGTCATCTGTAACGGGCGCCAGACGGTTCCGCATTAAGAATGTGGTATGCGTGTAAACGGAGGGGGGGGAGGGACAAACTACGCCTGCAAGCAAATTTCTAGCAACTCTACCTTCTTACAAGAAAGTAGGTGAAAAAATTGATCCGGTTCTGGACGAATGAGGAAGTAAGGGGTGCTTTAAGGAAAGTCTCCGCTTTGATCAATCCCTTTGTGGGATGCGGCACGCATTCTACTTCCATTCAGAATCGTAGTGGCTTATTGAATGCGATGTGGCCTATACAATGACTTGCGGGGCCAGTGTTTTATCCTCCCAGACGAATCTGGTACCAACTTCACCGTCCACAAGGGGTGGTGGAAAACTTAGTTGGCCCGGGCGGGAGCCGGTCAAGGAAATAATCCTCGGTTCGTGCGCGTGGTAAGCGTGCTACTCGCCGCTCCACCACCTCTACCTCAAAAGGTAAACAGCGCTGACATAACAGTCTCGCCCCCATCGGCAGACACGCGAAAAGTCGCCTGGTCGCGAACGTGTCATTGTGGGGACACCATGTTGGGAAAGAAGATCGGCTCCATAAAAGTTTGTTTCTATGAAAGTAAACTCACTTTGTTCTTGAGAAATGCCGCCTTCAATCTGGTGTGGAACCAATCAGCTCCTTTGGGATACTCTTTGCCCAAATGATATAACTGCTTATAGACTGAGACCACTCTTGCGCGTTGGCTCATGCTTTTGATGATCGTGGAATTCCACTAAATAAGTCACAATTAGAAGAATTGGCACAGTTGGGCTTGCTGGTGGAGGAGAAGGCGACGGGGAGGGCTCTGCTTTTTGCTACTTTCGCTATAAGGAACCTTCACCCTTCCAGCGATATCCACTATCCCTCCATCAGTGCACTTCCTGTGGTTGGGGGGAAAAGGTAAAAAATAGATCGCTTCCTTGTTCCCACTGTTCGACCCCTCACCCATAGCCCGTCTTACCCGCCATACTCCTAATTTTTTTGAACTTCATACCACATTGTTCCTGAGTTTTTCTCCAGTTTTTTTCGGGTAAACTAGGAAAGTGCCATCGAACGAGTTATGGCCACGGAGCCTTGTATATAAACACTGTGTGAAACGGGAAATCGCAACAAAAACATTTTTCTCGGGGCTGGGAGAGATGAGCGAGGCCGCACCCACCAAATATGACCCCCGCAAGGATCACCAAGTAAGACGTGCTGTTTTCTTTGATCAGCACGTGTGGAACTTATCGTTAAGAACAATAGCGATGTTGGTCAGGCAAAACCATCGATTGAAGATGATCATCTCCTTCTGGAATTGTCCACCAGGAGACTCCCATGTCCAGCGTAGAGAGTAGGGCTTCTGGAACTGCGAGTTACCATGGATGGTGTGGGTCGACATGATAAACTCAGACAGTCTTCCCGTCTGCTCGTTCCGCTCTATTCCGCGTTACACATATACAATTCACGAAAATTAGACCAGCTTTGGGATACTTAACAGCCAACACTTCCGTTTAAAAAATCGACACATCTATATAAATTTTTATTAGATAAAAATTAATCACCGATGTTCAAAGAAAGTCATTCGGGTGCACAACGCATTTCTATCCGATCGCAGAAAGGACAGACACTCACAAAAACATATTCATCAACGAAAAGATTTGCATAACAAGCAGCTCACGACATAATTCAGCGCAAAAATAAACTCAGATTTTCAGCGAAATCACCACCCAATAGTAGACGTGGCCACCCACAAAGCAGTAACAAATAACAAACGATCAACATAGGACATTTCTAGAGAAAACTCACATCATGACAACTAAAAACTCAATTCGTTGGAAACCTTTCAAGCGAAATTTTGCAAATGTCAAAAGGAACTACAATAGTGAACGATCCACTCTCTCAAAACGACAAGAGGAGGGGAAGGCCAGCCTTTAGGACCAACCCCTCTCCCGAGGAATTCAAGGCTAATGCTCTGTGAAAGGTATGGTATGTGATAGACTCCATATAAAAAAAAACAAAGAACAACGACATAAACTTATTCAACGACTTTCAGAACCTTTCCGATAGCAATAGTGCGGCCTTCGTCACGAAGGGTGAAACGACCCAGCTGAGGTAGCTCCTGGAACAATGTAGGATTTTCTGCACTGTGTGAGAGCTTTTCTGGGCGCTGGTCAGCTTAGGAGGGGGAGGGAGGGACATATCTGCACTCTCACTATTTCCCACTGACTTTTTCGTTACTTTACAAG